GAGAGAGACTTAATGGCACAATGATGATAGCAAGATGATTGCACGCTAAAACTAGCTATGCGGTGTAAGCATATCACTACGATGCACAATGAGCGTGGCCCAACAATTCTCAACTCGCTAGTCTCGGTGGGAAAGATACACAATAGGCTCGGGGCTATCAATGCAATGGCAAGGAAATGTACAATGATGTCGTCGGAGTTACTGTCGGTGGTTTCTCGTTTGTAAGTAAGGATGGATGATGAAGTGGACATTGTCGATGTCGAGTCCGTGGAGAAAATGAGTGGCGATGTCGAACCGTTCCTAATTAGCCGAAACACCTTAGTAAACAGGAAAACCACAACTCAAAATCTCAAATGTCAAATGGTGGTAGCGGAAGGCAGTGCTGGTGTTAAAGTTGGCAATGCGGAAGTTGAGGTGGTCGTTAATGAAGAAGTAACCGTCCCTAAGTAGCCTAAACACCTTAGGAGACTCAAATCATAGCTCAAACAACCACAAATGCAATGGGGATCAAAATGGGTTACGTTGCAGAAGGCTATGGTGGTATTGCAGATGTTATGGTGGAGGGCCTAGGCAAAGATGCCAAAATGTCAAAATTTTAATGGAGTCAAATGATGATGGTAGTATTTTTGTGGGATGGGGGATGTCAATAGCTATGAAACGAGCTGAAGGACATCGAGTCGGACTCCGGATGAATTAGTTATGACCGAAACAAGATTTCAGCCGTGTCAGTTTCAGGGTGTCCCGGACATCCGGGAGTAGGTCCGGATGATCCGGGTTCGTCAACTCGGGTACTGATTTTTGGGTGCGTGGGTTAGTCGGACGCCTGGAAGAGGGTCCAACTGATCCGGGTTATGTCTGGATGATCTGGGAGCACATCCGGATGATCCGGGCAGGGCAAACTGCTCGGGATTTCCTCTCGGGGACGCGATTTGGGCGGAAATTTTTGATTGTGGAGGGTCAAAATTGATGTGAAAAGAATTTTTTTTGGAGGGATTTCATGGTGGGGAGGTGGGGAAAGCCAGGATCCACTTGCTAAACAAGAAAATCGTGGATCAAACACAACAAAATCTCACAAGAACCAACAAAATGCAAAAAATTTGGTGAGGCTATTTTTTGGTGGGGATTTTCGAAATTGGGCAAGAAAACGAAGGAGAGGACTCTAAATTCGTGATCAACGTGGCCCATGATACCAAGATGATGTTGGGTGGAACCCTAATGACCGATCTTTCACGAATTGGAGGATTCCTCGAAGAACACGACGAACACGGGGAAGAATGGGGGGAAATCACAAGAGGAACACTCACAAACAAATCCAATCACACATCCACTAGACTAACAAACACATGGATCCACAAGGTACATGAACAATCAAAGGGAAAGATACAAGGTAGACTTCATCCCAAATCCAAAGGAGATGGGGTCTTGGTCTTGGTGATCTAGATAGATCCTTCCCACAAAGAGGTCTTGAATCCCTCGGGATCTTCTCACATGCTCACATGGAGGTCTTGAACTCCATGGGAGTGGTCTCTCTCTCAAGAATAGAAGGTAAGGAGCAAAGCTCAACTAAGATGAGTTATCATATTGCTAACCCTAGAAAGAAGGTGGAGGAAGTCTATTTATAGTCTAAGACACGAAGGGGTAAGTGAGGGGGCGAAATGGGTACACGGGCCTTGGCCCAAGTCACGCACGCATGCATGGTCCGGATGATCCAGGCGTCAAGGGTCCGGATGATCCGGATGGGGGTCCGGATGATCTGGCTTCGTCCGGGCTGGTGCTGTTGTCTTCGGGCGTGTAGTTGGATCGTCCGGGCCAGGGGCTGATGATCCGGGCAGGTGCAGCCTTGTCCTTTCTTCGGTCTTCTTCCGTCTTCTCTTCCATGCTTCCCTCACGGATGGTGTAGTCGTACACATGCGCTTGCACTCCCTCTCGTTAATGGTGAAGCTCCGGTAATACCTATGCATGCACACGAGAGGAGTGCCAAGTAGTATACCATTCTCGAAGGGGTCAAGTGAACACGTGTTAAGGTGATGATTCACCTTTATGTATGTGAAGCAGAGGTCGCACGTGTCACTTGCCAAACGGACTCTTGACATGGTGATGTCCGTAGGATGCTCTGCATCATATGTCCATCTGTGTCCTGTACAAAAGTAGGAAATAATGGAGGGTTCAACACAACAACAGTGTCTACGCATTTCTTTCATGCATCACATAGATGGACATACTTTTCGCGCAAAATTTGCAGCTTCACACATGACACATTATTGCACTATGCATACCTTGGGAATTTTCATTTTTTTTTGAAATTTTGAGAGCAGTATGGTCAGTAAGGGTTTATTTGATTTGTAGGATTTTTGGAGGATTTTCATAGGATTTCTTCCTACGGGATTTCTTCTTATGTATGCCATTTGTTTCATAGGAATGTGGGTACTAGATTTCTTAGGATTGTGTCCATATTGGGCCAGTTCCTAAGGATTCTTAGTATTAGGTGCGACCTTATGGAAAATTCCTAAGAATTGGAGTGAAGAGGGCATCTTAATCTTTTACCTTTTCTAGTCCTTTGATTTGGGATCCTGCAAACAGAATGAGCCGTAAGCCTGGACCATGGTCAAACTTGTTTGCGCAGGTCGAGTGTTCAACAGTAACTATTTCACCTGTTTACAGTGTTAACATAGAAATCGCACTGATTATAGTGGCAACTTTACAAGGAAAACCTGGTGATCTAACTACAAATGTATGTAAAACTTAAGGTACAGATTTAGTCAAGCTCGTTCACTTGCCACCAGAATAAAAAAAACTACCCCCCATGTTTTCAGTGTTACCAGAGCAATTACATCACTTCCAAGATCCAATGGTAATTTATACTACCAGCAAACACTAGTGGTATATGTACAATTCCCCTAATAAAATAAGGTGAAATTATTAGACCTTTTACAAACCCATGTGATATTTAGATGATGGAATATAGAGAAGAGTGACATGTTACTTATAAGCAGCCTTTAACAAAGCAACACTGCACTGCTCAGAGATATCACTTAATGCTTGCCCGCTCTTCAAAGAAAATACATAGCCCCCCAAATATCAAGTTCTTTAAGTTTCCTTCATATGCTGCTATAGTTATGTGTCTATACAGATCCCTTTAGGAGGAGCATTGGGCAAAGTTCGCATGTATATTGAAGAATGCTATTGTCATGTGGGGCATCCCGTATAGGTGTAGGGGGAAGCCAGCGAGCCAGGTTAGGGCTGGCAGCTGATCTAATCAGGGATTCGATCCTAGTTAATTAAAGGAAGTAATAATCACTTTTGGAGGGTCCTAGTTGTGTACTTAAGGAATCAGCGGTCACTATTAGGAAAGCATAAAAGAAATTTTACCGTTACCAAGCCTCGCTGTTCCCGTGAGGCCGCAATACCTCCAGGTTACCGAATAGTCCTGCACAACTAGGGCTCTTGCAATTTGATATCAGCCTCCATGTCTGGTCCAGGGGAAAAGGCTGACCCTACCGGATGCCGCTGCACCCTGGGTACAAGACCTTGCAACCATCCATGAGCAGCTTCGAGACATGTCGACTCAGATGGCAACTTGTATATCTCTAGGTCAACCTGATTTCCAGCTTCTAGAGATACAGATTTCATGTGCAACATGCCTGCAATTTCCAGCATAGACTCCTTGGATGTTTGATTCTCTTGATGCAAAACAAGGAAACTGCGACCACCATTAAAGGAATTCCTTGATTTTTCTGTTTCGTTTAAGTCCACACAAAAATCTTTCCAGTGGAGAACCTCTGTCCGAGATCCTCTCCTAAGAATATTTGGAATGTCCCTTATTATGTCACTGGCTTTCAGTTGGCAATAGGATTCTTTCCGCTTCCACATTTGAGGCTAGGCTATCACTTAACCACCATCTTTGCCAATTTTAACGCAAAATCAACACTTTAGGGGCAGGGCTGTAACACACCACACACGAGGTATTTCCAGCCAGCTGCCTCAGTCCTACCACTGAAGAGGATTTTGCTGATGATGTTACGCGTGGTTGTGCACCTGGTTGCTCTGTTGTCGCTCCTCTATCTGCATCTGAAGCTGTTGCATCTGGTTGTCTCGTAGTAACTGTCACCACTGCTTCTTCGTGCGCCTCTGACGCTTTTTGTCGAACCACTGTTGCTGCGTCAACTTCCGGCTGCACGAACGATGTTGCTACCATGCTCACTATGCTTTCTGCTGAAGCCATTGCTATCCATCTCTTTTCTGTATCAGTCTCAAGTATGCGAATCTTGAATTCGTCAAAAGTAGATCAGATGGGCCTTGAACTGTTCCATGAAAGAGTTGGCACTAGGGGTCTGTTTGGATTTGAGCCAACACCTGCCCAGCCGAATAATTGGCATTGACTTCCAGCTGTCCGTCTGTTTGGATGGGAGCCAATTTTCTGGCTTGCCCAGGCTATGTCGGTGGCTGCAGCTCAATTTCGCCCCAATTTGTCGGCGAGAAGCTGGCGGCGAAAACGTCTGCCAATAAATTGGCGTGCCAACGATTTGGCGTAGCTAGCAGAGGCCGAATCCAAACAGCCCCTAGAAGCCATGGTGGTCGGCTGTGATACCAAATGTTGTGAACCTTGATTCACAAAGGGATAACTACTGGGCTGAAGATACCCAGCTGGCATGGCTGCGAGGGATTGGGTAGACATAGGTTTAGAGGACAGAATAACTTGGGAGAATAGATTGATTGTTCTTGCTTGCCTCCAATGTGAATGCATATGTCATCCTTATATATGCTGAGGCCCTTGACCTCTTCTAATACAACTAGACTTAGAAATTTCCTTATACAATTGGACTCTTTCTTAATCCTATACTTTACTAGTGGACTCTTAGGATACTTCTCTCTCATGGACTCCTCCCATGCTGCTACTCTTGCCTTGATACCGTGAACCCATGTCCAGAACAAATCTATTCTATCATATTATCTCATCCAACTTTGTGTTACACTTCTCAATCTCCCTCTCTCTTTTGCAGAGCAATCCCATAGTCGTCGTGTATTCGAGCAATGACGGAGCACTTGAAGAAATTGGGCGCACTGAAGTTATTGTAAATTCATCGAGCCCGTCATGGAATGCAAAGATCATTTTGCAATACCAGTTTGAAGTTCTTCAGCCATTGGTGTAAGATTCTACTGTTCACTAAATCACTTCAATTCTCTCTTGTTTCTATCTTAGACCACAAGTGTTAAGAATGGATTTTACATCTTGTCGATCCTCGGTTATAACAGATATATTTCCTCACAGGTTTCATATTTATGATATTGATCCGCAGTTTCATGAAGTCGGTGAAAAGGTAATTATGTTTTGTCATTGTTTTCATTTTTCTTCTCAAAATACTCGTACCGATGATTTTCTGCTAGAGAAAGCCTTCGATGTGAAAGTCCACATTTCATGACAACTTTACTTTTTTGCACTGTCCCAAATTGGATTATGTAGCAGTAGGTTTAGTTAATTTTTATTTATAATGGTGTAAATTATACAAAAAATATTTGATTGTTCCGTGGTTTTTAGTCTGTTGGTTACTGAAGTTCTCTAGAAACCACAGAGTATCTTAAAATTGTGATTCTGCATAGATTTCCCAAAGTAGAAGAAAGATATCTGTAATTCTGATACTGTCAGTTCATTTTATTTGTTTCTTCACTTTATTCCTTCTTTTCTACCATTTCTTTTTGCTGATATGAACAACCCTAATCTACATTCCATTGCACACACTAGTTTTGGCAAGGATACTGGCAAATATGATATCTTGGAAAGTCTTCTCTCATTCCTCCTTTCATCTGTCATTACAATTCTAATGTTAGCCTGCCCTGAAATGCAGATGCTTAAACTGGAGGAGCAACAGTTTCTTGGAGAAGCCATCTGTAATTTATCCGATGTATGTTTACTATGGTTAAATCATTGCTGCTTTTCGTGGCTATTGTTTCTTTCCTTGACTAAATACTTAAGTGCACAAAACATGCTTGTGTTGAGGAAAGAGTAACTATTTTGGACCTTCTGCAATGAATACGTCAAACTGTGCTGTAAAACTTAAAATAAGTGGTGAAGGGAGGAAAGGACAAAGTAAGAAATCCTGCTTGTATTAACCTGGTGGCCAAGTTTATTTTATCATCTGGATTTTCAGCTCTAGAACTGGTTGGTAGTTCCAGTTCCACGACATATTATCCTAGGTTCATCATAAACATACTGTTTTCTGGTTGCAAAGTAGTGTGGCCAGCACTTGCATATTTTGTTTCTTGAGATCAAAGTTGATTTTGTAGGTTATCACCAAACAGAATAGATTGTTCACCCTAAAGCTTGGTGTTTCTGAGCACAACTTACCAAATCCTAGTAAATTTGGTGAGTTAACTGTTCAGGCCGAAGAAAGTGCTGGTTCAAAAGCATTAATGGAAATGGTATTCCACTGTTCAGATCTTGAAATCAAGGATCTTCTTTCAAAAAGTGTAAGCTCATGTTTTCATCTTTTGCTGGGTACTTGTTTTGCTGTTGTTGCACTTGCAATTTGGTGAATGGCTATCTATGCTTCTCCTGTGGATTGTTGGTTGCAGAAGAAAAATAGTTTTTCACTTTTCTAATCATGCTTATTACAGGATCCTTTCTTGCTAATATCCAGAATGTCAGAGAACGGAACACCTGTTCCAATTTGCAAGACAGAAGTAAGGAAGAATGATCTCAATCCTAAGTGGAAGCCAGTGATTATGAATCTCCAACAGGTCGGAAGTAAGGCATGAGATCTTTCCACTTCCATTTTCTTTTGTACTTTCTGTTTAGGGTGCAATCAGAGCTTATATATACAAACTTTCGTGCCCCTCGAGTCAGCATTATGTACATGTTTATTTGAAGTTTTGAACCACTAGCTGGTGCTGTTAGTTCTCTGCAAGCGCATGGGCGGTGACAAGGACCGGCTTGACAAGTTCAGGAAACTCAGAAAATTCAGAAGATTCAAAACTCCCTTAGATTAGCTACAGGAGTTCCTGCCGGCATGCGAACAGTGGCGGCTTAGGGGGAAACCCTAGCAAAATAACATGCCCTTACCACCCTAAATCTAGGCTTATGTAGTCAGAAGGTCGCATGTGAAAAGTAAAGCAACAAAAGGTAAAAGAAGACGGTAGAAGGGCGCAGAGCTTGACAACGACGAGTAACCCAAAACTGTAATTTAAATGGAGTCGTCCAATGTGGAATCGATGGCTGAGCTTCACTGGAGCATGCATGAAGCGGTAAGTTAGGTAGCCAGCCTTAGATCTTCACCAGCCGGCCCCCTTTGAAAGGTAGCGCTTCGACAGGCGTCACAGGCGGCTGCTCTAAAATGAATAAAGAAAAAATCCACTTTCTTTGTTGCCTAATGGCTTTTGTATGTGTCTAATCCCTCTGTATTTCTTTTCTCGTGGCTGTATTATGTTTCAGGAGAATCTCCTCATGATAGAATGCTTCAACTTCAGTAGCAATGGCAAACATGACCTAGTTGGGTAATTGTCCCCTTTTGTGACTCAACATGCTACCTGCACTTGCTTTTGTTGTTTATTAGTTGTTAGCATGTAATGGTGCCTTATAGCCTATGCCATCAATTCTCAAATTCATGTTTTTTTCTGATTAGATACCTTTGTAATTTGACAGCAAGATAGTAAAATCAGTCGCCGAATTGGAAAACATGTACCATAGTGGGAATGGTGAAAATTTCTTTGTTCCTGCCAGCAATGCACATGATTGTCATAGTAAGGAGGTAATATTTTTCTTCTTCTGTAGAACCTCTGCAACTGTTATACTGTATTAACCGAATTTTATTCTGACATGCAGGTATTGAAGAGCCAGGTATATGTGGAGAAATATCTTGAGAATAGTAGACATACTTTTATCGATTATATTTCTGCTGGGTGTCAATTGAATTTGATGGTAGCCATCGACTACACAGGTATGCACGGATGTGCTACTGCAAGCTGGCCTTGCTCAATTCTCATTCACTAGTTTGTAACAACACGCTTCCTATTTTTTTTACTGTCAATGTTTATGCTTTATAGCTTCAAATGGAAACCCTCGGCTTCCAGATTCCTTGCATTATATTGACCCCTCCGGACGGCCAAATGCGTATCAAAGAGTGGGCAACTGATTTATCATTCTAGTTTTGTATTCTGATGAACCTTTGAGCACAAATTGATATTAGGTTCTTCCATTGCTGTTTTTGTGGCAGGTAATACTGGAGATTGGAGATATACTACAGTACTATGACCCAGCTAAGCGTATCCCCTCTTGGGGCTATGGGGCAAGACCTATTGACGGTCCTGTTTCACACTGTTTCAACTTAAATGGCAGCACTTATCAGCCTGAGGTATTTTACTTTTTTTCCAACATTTGAATGGAGTATCGTCTTCAGATGAACAATTTGTGTGCTTTCTCTGGAAAGCTAATTGAGAATCTGCTTTTTCACCCATCTTAGTTAAGTTTAGTAAACTTGTTTGTATTTGAAAATGAATGAACCCTTGTGCCGCATTCTCCTCTCTTTTTTGGGTGGCTTCTTAAGGTTTAAGCTTCCATTTATTCATAGCCTACCCATATAATCTTCCTCAGGTTGAGGGAATACAGGGAATTATGTCAGCTTATATCAGTGCGCTACGCAATGTGTCATTGGCTGGTCCTACACTCTTTGGTCCTCTACTTAGCACGGCTACAGCAATAGCAAGCCAATCCCTTACAAACAACCAACAGAAATACTTTATTCTGTTAATAGTGACGGTATATAATACCTCTCGGCCCATCTTTAAAAACTGCACCATGTTTTTCGTTCTTACCCGTTAATCTTTTGTCCAGGATGGTGTAGTGACTGATTTTCAGGAGACTATTGATGCAATTATAAAGGCATCCGATTTTCCTTTGTCCATCATTGTTGTTGGAGTTGGTGGGGCTGACTTCAAGGAAATGGAGGTAATGGGACTGGACAAGTTTTCACAGTTTTATTTGTGTAAATTCATTTGTATATTTCCTTTTAGACATAAAAGTGGAATGCTAAAGTAACAGTTCTGTACCAATTAGAAGGGTCTACTACTGACATAACCCTAATCACTGAAAAGTAGATAAAATCAGACGACAATATTCTTTCACTGTGCAGTTTCTGGATCCAAATAAAGGGGGAAGATTGGAAAGCTCAACGGGGAGAGTTGCATCAAGGGATGTGATACAGTTCGCCCCAATGAAAGATGTGCATGGTATGTGTTTTAGTAAAGCTGTGTTCGTTGTAATTTTGGCATTAGAGGACAAATCATTCTGTTTTCATGTATCTTGCCATCTGTATAATATTTGTTCGCTGTCTCCTGCATATGATTTTGTTTTCCTGACCTTCACTTAGAAAGTAAAGGATTGTGATAATCCATTGTATTTCCAGGTACTGGGATATCCATAGTTCAGTCACTTCTTGCTGAAATACCTGGGCAGTTCATGACTTACATGAGAACAAGAGAAATTCAAGCAATTAGTTAATACAAGATTACATCTGGCGTCAACTCTTTAGAAGATATCCTTCTAATGTTCTTTGTTACTACTATAATTTAGCGATTCAGCCACATCATTGTGCAAATTTTAAGCCTTGGCTGTGAAAAGAAGCAACAAGATGGATTTTGAAGATGTTGAAGACAAAAGAGATCGATCTCATGTGATTATAGCCTGGATCAAATATCAACGGCATATTCTCCATGCTGGTTGCTGCTTATCTGGAGATCCTAGCCTGGATCAAATATCATTTTTCATACTCTCCATGCTATTCTGTTGCTTGTCAAGTCTACCATGCTCATGCGGGTTCAGGGTGGTTTGTGTCGAGGCAAGAACTGCAAGGTACTTCAGCTTGAAGATTGTTGTTTCAGAAGACCCATCTAAAATTCTGATTTGTGTATGATCTGCATACAGGCTCAAACAAGATGTTCAATGTTTAGTTCCCGTTTTTGTTCTGGTTATGAGTTGAGATTGTACAAGCTCTGTTTGGTCCTGTTTGTATTGTAATATACTGATGTGTTAATATAGTTTGTGCCGTTTATTACCCTTGTGGACTTAAGCATTTCCTCATGTGTGTTCTAGTACTTGGCTGGAGTGTTGCTTGACAATAAATGAGGTCACTAGGATATCAAGCTATGATACTATGCACCGTGGAGGTTTTAAGCATTGGTAATAGAGGCGGTTGTTTCGATGAGAGGTAGCTATCGTTTTTGGTAAAAGTTGGCTTTGACGATCCGACAACGAACATGTGAAGATGTCGCGCCTTAGTAATCGCTAAACCAACTTTGAGAGATTATTGACCATGCGCAGCATGATCAACGAGACCACAAGAGTCTATTTCTTGCATGCAAACGAAAAACAAGAAACTGATATTGCAATTTGAATATTGCAAATTTAAGAGGAAAGCTTTACTAATCAAGTGAGGTTATGTGACGTCTTGGTTTGGTCGTTGAATACAAATGAAGGACATGAGTTGCAGCTATGACGAATTTAATCTAAACAAAACCCAAGTCTAAAATGACGCTCTATATAGGAAGACAGAGGGGAATTTCATCCACCCTTGGCAAGATGGGACTAAATTCTATCATAAGTTGTTTTCCTCTATTAATACGGACTCTAAAAACATGCTACTAAGTGTATTTCAAAATTACATGGGCCTGGCTCAGAAATAAAGTGACCCAACACCTATATTAAACTATGGACGTAATTTATGAAAGGTCATCTTGTATATTTCGTCCACGTACTTGTATGTCATCATTGTGGCTCAAAAGTGCGGAAAACTCCACCAGAAACTCCGTTCTTGTTCCCCTTGCGCGCACCATTATCTCCATGTTTGATCATGCTCCAATGTTCATCCTTCTTTTCCATGCTGACCCTTCATTTGCAAGTAAAACAAACGTTCAATTTAGGCCACATCATATTCTCATGAACATTAGAATCGTTACCAAGAAACAAAAGTACATAGTAATTTAATTGGCATGCACGAGCTCTAGTAATTGGTCCAGTATGTGTAGCAGCAGGGATTGCGGGTGTAATTGTATTAGTGATGTCCTCATCATCTTCTCCTTGAATTGAAGTCGTTCTCAACGGAAGCTCATATTCCTCACCCACGTAAGACTTCAAATCTGCAGTGTTAAAAGTGGGACTAACCCTAAAATTTGCAGACAGCTCAAGTTTATATGCATTATCATTTATTTTCTCTAATGCCTTAAAAGGATCATCAACACGTGGCATTAGTTTAGATTTGCGCAAATCAGGAACCTATTTTTGCATAAATATAACAAAGCAAGATCTCCTCCTTCAAACACAATATGTCTTCTACCCTTATCACCAGCAAGTTTGGATTTAGCATTCATGCGCTCAATGTTTTCCTTAGTTAACTCATGTTTTTTAAGATCAATTAAATACGTTGTTTATCATCAAAATTAACCTTCTCTAAAGATGGAAGAGACAAGAAATCAATGGATGCGCGAGATAGGAAACCATACACAATTTTAAAAAGGCACATTAATGCAGTGAACGATTATAAGCAAATACAATATGAGGCAAGCATTCTTCCCACATTTTCACGTTATTCTTCAAAACAACCATAAGCATAATAGACAATGTTCTATTGACTACTTCAGTTTGACCATCAGTTTGGGGGTGACATGTAGTACTAAAGAGCAGTTTAGTCCCCAACTTAGCCCATAAACATCTCCAGAGGTGGCTAAGAAATTTATTATCATGATCTGAAATAATTGCATTAGGCACACCATGCAAGCGAATAATTTCATGAAAGAACAAATCAACAACATTAGCAGCAACATCACTTTTATGACATGGTATAAAGTATGCCATTTTCGAAAATCTATCCACGACAACAAATATGTTATCCCTCCCCTTATTTGTTCGAGGTAAACCTAAAATAAAATCCATAGATATGTCCTTCCATGGAATACTATGTACGAGCAAAGGCATATATAAACCATGAGGATTGAGTCGTGACTTAGCTTTTTGACATATAGTGCAACGAGCAACAAAACACCCAACATCCTATCTCATCTTTGGCAAAAAAATGTGTGTCAAATACGTCCTCCGTCTTCTTCACACCAAAGTGTCCCATTAATCCTCCTTCATGCGCCTTCTACAACAACAGATGAACATAGCTAGTTAGAATGCATAGCTTGTTAGCACGTAACACAAATCCATCACTAATGACCAACTTGTTCCATGTTCTTCCTTCTTTATAGTTCTGCATCACATCTTTAAATTCAGCACCATGCACATATTGGTCTTTAATGGTCTCCAAACCAAATATTTTAAAGTCAAGTTGTGAAAGCATAGTATAACGATGAGACAAAGCATCAACAATAACATTTTCTTTATCCCTTTTGTGTTTAATGACATAAGGGAAAGTCTCAATGAATTAAACCCATTTAGCATGTCTACGATTCAGTTTTGCTTGACTTTTATTGTGTTTCAAAGATTCATGATCAGAATGTTTAACAAATTTTTTGGGCCATAAATAATGTTGCCATGTTTCCAAAGTCCGAACAAGAGCATATAATTCCTTATCATAAGTAGAATAATTTAGACTAGGCCCATCAATTTTTTAGAAAAATATGCAACATGTTAACCATCTTGTAATAACACACCTCGTAATCCAATTCCACGAGCATCACATTCAAGCTCAAAAGTCTTACTAAAATCTGGAAGTTGGAGTAAAGGAGCATGTGTTAACTTATCTTTCAATACCATGAAGGTTTCTTCCTCTGTCGTACCCCAAACAAAAGACACACCCTTCTTTGTAAGCTCATTGAGAGGTGCAGCAATGGTGCTGAAATCTCTCATAAAACGCCTATAGAAACCAGCTAGGCCAAGAAAACTCCTCACTTGTGTGACCGTTTTGGGCCGCGGCCAACTCTCAATCGCTTCATTCTTGGCTTTATCAATTTCAATTCCCCGTGGAGTAACAACATAGCCAGAAAAAGATACTCAGACGATGCAAAAAGTGCACTTCCCAAGGTTACCAAACAAACGTGCATCACGTAAAGCAATAAAAATAGCACACAAATGTTTCAAATATTCCTCCAAAGATCTGCTATAAATATATCATCAAAATAGACTACCACAAATCGTCCAATGAAAGCACGTAAAACTTCGTTCATTAATCTCATGAATGTGCTAGGTGCATTAATTAACCCAAAAGGCATGACTAACCACTCATATAAGGCAAACTTAGTTTAAATGCTGTTTTCCATCCATCTTCCAATTTCATACGAATTTGATGGTATCCACTACGCAAATCAACTTTGGAGAATATGGTAGAGCCACTTAATTCATCAAGCATATTGAAAGTGCGTTAAGTCGACTAGAGGGGGGGGTGGATAGGCGATTTTTATGAATTCTTCACTAAGGAATTTCAGGGTGAGGAAATTCCTAAGCGAAGAACTACTTGCAGCGGAATAAGTACTCAGATGCAGACATGACATAACATAAGCATGGACATCTGATGAAATGAAAACAAACACAGAGTACAGAAAGCGTAAGCACATGATAAAACAGGATGAAGACAAACAGACTGAAGAAATTGAACTGAGTAAATTGAGAAAGTCTTCAGTCAAAGCCTTCAAACAGGTATGAACAAGCACACAACACAGTAATGAGGAAATGAAAGGGTTGAGGAAATAGAACGAGTAGACTTGGTGAAGACAATGATTTGGTAGACCAGTTCCAACTGCTGTGACAGTCGTACGTTTCGTTGGAGCGGCTAGGTATTTAAACCTGAGGACACACAGTCTCGGGCACACACTCCTCACCGTATTCTCCTTGAACTAAGGTCACACAGACCTCGTCCAATCACTCATGGTAAGTCTTCAGGTGACTTCCAAACCTTCACAGACTCGGTCACCCGGTGATCCATAATTTCCTCTTGGATGCTCTAGACCATGACACCTAACCGTATGAAGGATGCACATTCCTCAAAGGTAACAAGCATCGGTTCCACACAGGAACAATCTCTTCAGTGATGCTCAATCACTTTAGGTTTGTAGGTGTTTGGTTTGGGGTTTTGGGTTTTTCCTCACTTGATGATTTTCGCTCAAATTTCTCGGAGGATGGGATGCTCTCAATGACAAGTGTCAGTTTCTATCGGAGCATCCAACCAGCTAGTGGTTGTAGTGGGCGGCTATTTATAGACTAGGGAGCATCCCGACATAATAAGACATAAATGCCCTCCAATGATATGACCATTAGGTGGGTAGATATTTTAGGACAGCTGGTGTGTAGCACAACAACGGTCGGAAATTTGGCTATCAAATTCCTCAGGGCTATCATGTTCCTCACCTGTAGGCAATCCACACTGGCGAATTCCTAACTCCTCAACCAAAACAAATTCCTCAGAAACTAGAAGAACTTTGTCTCTGTCACTGAAGAAATTGACTGAACTGTATGAGATTTCCAATGGCTTCATTCGAAGGGATTGGTAGGTGTAGTGTAACACCCACAAT